GGAGCCGCCGTGTCCGCCCGAGCCCAGGCGGTGCCTCGGCCCCGCTCTCGCCGTTCCCATAGGCTAAACCGCACGTCAATCAGAAATGGCCCCGCCTCCTCCACATATTCACCGCTTCCATAGGCTCAGCCACACGTCAATCAGAAGCGCCCCGCCCCGACGCGCCCCTGAGAGCTCAGGGGGCAGGGCCAGTGGACGGCTGGGCGACTGAGGACTACAGCTCCCGGCGTGCCTTGCGGGAAGAGGAGCATGATGGGATAGCGAGTAGGGCGGGGTAGTGCTCGACGCGGGAGGGACTGGGGTAGCGGGATTGAGGGGGAACCGGGATTGGGGAAACGGGACTGCGGAACTGGGATTGGGAGAGCCGGGATTGGGGGGAACCGGGATTGGGGAAACGGGATTACGGAACCGGGGTTGGGAGAGCGGGATTGGGGAACCGGGACTGGGGAGGGGGACTGGAGGAACCGGGATTGTGGAACCGGAGTTGGGGGAACCGGGATTGGGGAGCGGGATTGGGGCACATCCGTGTGTGCGGGGCACCCAGGTGTCATCCAGGAAGGGGGGGCATCCACATGTGAGCTGAGCATCCAGATGGGAGGGGCTCGTAGATTGGGGCACATCCAGATGTGTGGGACATCCAAGAAGAGGCGGCACCCAGGATTTGGGACATCCAGGTGTCAGAGATGTCTAGGTGGGTGGGTACGCAGGAGGGAGGGCATACAGGTGTCCTCCTCCAGATATGGGGTGGGCACGCAGAAAGAGGGGCACCCACAGTTTGGGGCATCCAGGTGGGTGATCATCCATGTTATGGCAGGCAGCGGGTTTTGGGGTGGGAGGTGTGTGCACCCCATTGTCGGTGGGGCAGGGGCAGCCATGGGGACATGCAGCGTGTGCCCAGGGAATGGGGCTGTAGGTGCTGTACCAGGCACTCCTGGATGTTCTCCACTGGAATCCCTTGGCATTGGCCTGAGGAATCACTCCCAAACCCAATCCCAGGGGATTCCCGATGGAAGGTGTGGAGGAACCCCTCCCTGCCATCATTGCTGACAAACCCCTGTGCTGAACAGAGCATCCAGAGCTGGGCATTTCACCATCCCTGTTCCCAGCCTGCTGCTCCAGGGAATGCCGTGCCCATGACCCACGTGCCCTGAGCCTGTGAGGACCCTGCAGCTCCTGGGGGAGCTCTGCTGGCTGCTCATGCCAGAGGGTCACTCATGGATGGAGAGGGAGAGGGGATGGATTCAAGGGGATGTTTTTATAGAACCACAGAATGGTTTGTGTTGGAGGGACCCCAGAGACCAACCAGCTCCACCCCTGCTATGGAGGGACACCTCCACTGTCCCAGGTGCTCCCAGCCCTGCCCAGCCTGGCCTTGGGCACTGCCAGGGATCCAGGGCCTGCCCACCCTGCCAGGGAACAATTCCCAATTCCCAATATCCCATCCAGCCCTGCCCTCTGGCAGTGGGAGCCATTCCCTGTGTCCTGTCCCTCCATCCCTTGTCCCCAGTCCCTCTGCAGCTCTCCTGGAGCCCCTTCAGGCCCTGCCAGGGGCTCTGAGGTGTCCCTGGAGCTTCTCCTGTCCAGGTGAGCACCCCCAGCTCTGCCAGCCTGGCTCCAGAGGGGCTCCAGCCCTTGGAGCATCTCTGTGGCCTCCCTGGGCTCTCTCCAGAGCTGTTCCCTCTCACAGGGAGGGGGGCTGCCCCCTCTTTGGGAGTCTCTCTGGCTCCCTCTCCTCTCCCACAGCCTGAGGGCTCAGCTCCTGTGCTGCCCTGGATCCCTCTGGGGCCTGTTCTGGTGAGGGGTTTGTGTCCTGTGGGCCAAGGGGATCCTCACCCTCACCTGCTCAGTTTGGCTTCTCCATTGGCAGGGGCCAAACCCAGCCCCACTCTGTGCCCTCTGCCAGCTCCCACAGCTGCTGCCAAGCACAGTGAGAGCAGGGACAGGGGAAAAGAAAAGGGCAGCCAAAGGAACCGCAAAGAGCAGCTAAAGTGACCCCAAAGAGCAGCTAAAGCCACCCCAAAGAGCAGCCAAAGCACACCCAAAGAGCAGCTAAAGCCACCCCAAAGAGCAGCTAAAGTGATCCCAAAGAGCAGCTAAAGCCAACCCAAGGAGCAAATGTCCTCCTGCAGCCACTGCCATCCCTGGCCACTGCATTGCCAGGGTAAAGGGGCTTGGAAGGTGAAGCCTGTGCAGAAACATCCACCCAGGGCACAGCCTGGGCAGCAGAGCAGGGGAAGGAGAAAGTGGGGACCCGGGGATGTTTCTTTTCTCCAGGAGGAGAGAAAAGCCTCATTTCTGTCCAACACCCCAATGGATCCAAAGCAGTGCAGGTGGACAGGAGAGGATGAGCAGCAATCTCCTCTATTTTCTCTCTCTTTTCTCAGCCTCTGGGTCTCAGTCCTGGTGCTCCACAGGGCAGCCAAACCCTCACTTCTTCCAGGAATTTCTCCTGTCTTTGGTGGGATGGTGGAAACCAAACAGAGCCCAGACAGGTGGGAATTGTGGGAAGATGTGGGAGCCAGAGGGAGAGGGGCAATCCTGGCAGGGCTTGCTGCAGTGTGGGGGCTTTGTCACAGCCATGCATTCAGCTGGGAGAGGGAAAAGGAGAAAGGGATGGAATTCAAGGGAGTGAGTGCTCTGGTGTGAGGAGGGAAGGAGTGGCCAGAAGGATCCACCACTGCCAGGCCCAGCTTGGGCTGCTGCTCAGATTGTGCAGAGGATTGTCCCCTGTCCTGCCCTCACACTGAGCACACCCCATGGGCAGGGCATACTGTCCCTGTGCTGCTGACAGCCACACTGTGCTCAGCAGCAAGGCAAGCTACAGGTAAGGGCTGGATGTTCCTCCCAACATCTTTGTTCTGGAGTAATCAAAATCCATTCAAGTTCTGATTAAAAGGTTGAGTTACCCAATAAAACCTATCAGTAGAACAAAGCTCTCCATCCCTAAACTTGCACACAAGCACTGGAATGTGCAGCACCCCTCAGCCCTGCTGCAGCTGGCACTGCTGGCACTGTCACTGTCCTGCTGTGCCACTGCTCTGCCCAGCACTCCTGCCTGCACAACTGGAGCTCTGATGTGCCTGAAGCCAGGCAGGGCTCGTTCCTGGGCTGGTGCACAGGACTGTGTGTGTGTTTCACATCACCAGGCTGCATTTCACATCACCAGGCTGTGTTTCACATCAGGGCTGCAGGGGGAAGGAAGTCACCTTCAGCTGGGGCTGGTGATGACATTTAGAACAAGCCCCGTGTCACTGCTGTGGGAGCACTCTGCTCCTGCTGAACGCCTGGTGCCTCACGTGAGGGAAGGAGAAATGCACAGTGGCTTTGAACTTCCCTGCCAAACCTCATCACAAACACTCACACACTTTTAATGAAACTCTCAATGAGTCAGTGCTCTTTTATAATACTTTACTCAAAACCAGAAAACACTGTGAGGAGGATGATTACAAGAACTGTGAAGTTCTCAGGAACTTTCCCAGTGCCAGATGTTCAATAACAGTGGATGGCAGAGGAGCTGCAGCCTGTCCCTGCCCTGAGCCAGGCCTGGGTTCTGCAGCTTCCCCCAAACACCTCCACTGCTCCCCAGTACCTGCCCTGGGATGCAGGGGAGTGTTCTGTCACCTGCAGCACTCATCAGTGCAGGAACACTCCTCATATTTAGCTTGCTGAGATGGTAAATGGGGAGTTTGGGCTTTCCTGGTTTGAGGCCCAGGTGTGGATAAGGGCTGGAGCCAAAGGTGACAGACTCTTGCAGCAACCCCTAATGCAGAATGGTGAGCTAGAGACAAAGGTGGTGGGCACTGTTCTCATCCAGGAAGGCAGATCAGCTGCCCACATGGGGCTTGGATTGCTCTGAACGTGTTTATCCTGCACCCAAAGCTCCCAATCCAGCTGGGAAGCCCTGTGGCCTCCTGTCATGTGGGAGATGAGCTGAGATCCAGAGCCATCCCCTGTGTGTGCACAGCACACTCCCCCTGCACAGCCCAGGGCTCCAACTCTGGGCTGTTCCCTGACCCTGCAGACCTGGACACTGCCAGGTTTGGGGTGCTGCTCCCCCTGTGAGCTCAGCACAGGCAGGAGCGTGGCAGGAAAGGGCTCTCTGCTCCCAAGTCCAGAAAAGGACCAAGGAGCAGGAAAGGGATCTGAGTCAATGCACAGGCACCCCCCTAACCAAGGCTTTATCCCCCAAAAGGCAAAGGGGCTGCTAGCAGTGCCTGAAGAGGGGGAACAGGAGCAGAGATGGCACAGCACTGCCAATGTTCACATTCCTGAGGCAATCTGAGTTATGGTGTCACTGAGCAGTTACGGTGTCACTGAGCTCTGCACAACACCAGGACCAGAGTCATCAACTGAAACACCTCAAACCCTGCTGAGAGAAGGAACAGTCTTTCACTGTGGGGGTGACCAGCCACACCTTTCACTGTGAGGGTGATCAGGCACACCTTTCACTGTGGGGGTGATCAGCCACACCTTTCACTGTGGGGGGATCAGCCACACCTTTCACTGTGGGGGTCATCAGCCACTGGCACAGGTTGTTGGAGCTGCCATCCTTGGAGATAGCCCAAAGCCACCTGGACACGGTCCTGGGTGACCAGCCTTGGGTGGCCCTGCATGAGCAGGGGCTGGAGGACATGATCACAACCTCCAGCAGCTTCCTGGGATGGTGTGACCATCATAAAGGCTAAACCACTGAGGGACAGAGTTAAGCAAGAAGAGGGTGTTGGAGCAGCAGGAAGAGGCAGCACAGGGCAGAAGGAAAGCAGCTCATATTCTGCAGGATGAAATGCAGGTTTTCCTTAACTACTGGAAGTCAATATATAGGCTGTGTATTTGTGCAAGAGTCTTTGTGTGGGCCTGAACAGGGCACAGTCCAGCTGCAGCATCAGGGAAAACTCCCAAACCCATAACCAGAGCTTTCAGTGCAGTAATTACTGAGGTTTCCTTTCAGCATTGTCACACTCTGTCCTGGTTAGGGGAAGAAAGTATTTCTCCAAGGCAGAATTTCTCTCTAGGATAGAGTTTTTCACACAGTGAATCACATTTTCCTTCACAAACCCCCTGCCTATGTAAAGAGGGGGTTTGTGGCAGCACTGGGAACCAAAAGGTGGGAGAAATAATAATAAGGAAATCCAATATTAAAAAAAGTCTGTAAGATTAGAGTCTTTGACTGATGGCTGGCAAAGCCTGCTTGCAGCCTGCTATAAGGGGTGCATGGTAGGAATGGGAGAACTGGAATTTTTAACTACTTCTCATCCAAGAGCTGTTCTGGATAACATGGATCTGAGGACAAATCAGAGCCAGGGCCTTACCAGCAGCCTCTTCCCTGAGGAAATGCCAGCACTGGGCCAGTCTGTGCTGCTGTGGAAGATGAGGCAGATCCTAACTCTAATTAGAGAGATGACATAAGGTCAGGTGCTCCTGAGCAGGATGTCTGCTGCACTGCTGCAATGTCCCTGCACACAGTCGGAAAGGGTGGGGGAAGATTCTTCCAGCAGGGACTGGAAAGGAAAAGGAGAGACATGGCAAACATCCAGCAGGAGCAACTGAGATGCTCAGATACCACTGCAGGCAAGGAGAACAGCCAGTGCAAGGAGCAGAGAGGCAGCTCAGGCACCACTCTGGGTGCCACAGAACTGCAAGCACAAGGAGCTGCCAGGGCCCAGCTGGGCTGCTCCAGGTTCTCCCTTGCAGAAGACTCAGGATCTCAGGTTTGAGGAGGAGCTTTTCCTTGGTTTGGTATTTCCCCACGCCAGAGTCAGTATCAGCCTTCAGTAAACAAACCCAACGCTGGAACATCTGATACATCTGGCAGGGTCCCAGTAGGAAGGTCACAGATGCTGGTGTTTGTGGCTCTGGGCTGTCTCTGGGGATATCATGGCATTTGTACCTAAGGACCTTGATTAGGACCAGCATGAACTGTCTGGTCCCACAGACAGATTTTAAAAGCCAGGATATTAGAAACATTACTTTCACAAGACCAAAAATAACAAAGTTTCTCACAGCAGTCAGCAAACTGAACTGTGCAGGCGTGGGAGGAACCAGGGGATATCATTTAGGAGCTCCACAGGAAAGATGAGAGGGAGGTGAGGTGTAAACCTGCTCTGCTCAGTGCCAGGTGAGGATGGGGCTCATGACTCTGACTTCAGCTGGAGTGAAAATGTTATTTACACCATTCATCCACTGAGTACATCACAGCCTGCAGTTATTCACACCTGGAGTGCAGAGAATTCCTCAGGAAGTGATCATTCCAGGACAGGAAGATGCTGCACAGGAGTTTTAAGCACAGAACAACCTGTTCTCTGCAGTTTCTGCAGGCAGGGATGTCCCACCAGAGCCAGTAATGGCAGATGGTGAGGGGGCTTTGCCACACTGGGTTTCCCAGGGATTTGCCCTGGCTCAGGGTGACAGGGCACCATGTAGTGCCCATGTAGTCCTGCCTCCCTCACATGGCCCTAAGAAACCTCAAAGGCCTTGTCTGAGCTGGGGCAGAGGAATGAGCAGAGCTGCAGGAAGTGTATTTTGGGTCAGGACTGTATTTTGGGTAAGGACTGTATTTAAATTTGACACAACCACTGATGCCCAGTGGGACATCCTCCAGTGCACAGGCACCCTTTCCAAGAGAGAGAATAGGAGACACATCAAAATGAGACCAGAACATGGAAAGCCAAGCACTCATGCACTTTGGAAATGTATCCAAAGCACTCTCCCAAGAGAAATCACAGAATCATGATAAAACAGTCTGTGCTTCTGGGCCTCCAGCCTCACTCTCCAACACCTCTGGTGCTGCAGTGAGGGTGAGTGCAAGCCCTCCTCAAAAGAAATTAATAAATATCCCATGAGCTCAGACACCCTGCTGTTCAGTTTTCAGTGTAGGACTCCAGGAGCTGATTCTCCACATGGTTTTGATCAGCTGGACTGAGGTCTGAAGCATAAAAACATGCTCTGGCTGAAGGCACCACAGCATTGTGGCTCCAAACCACCTGAGGGGCTGATTTGCTATGGCCCTGTGAGCTGACCTGGAAGGAGAAATTCATCCCCAGAGCATTTGGGAGCTGCTCCCTCTGTGACACCGAGTGCTGGTTTCATGAGGCACTGATGGGTTTCACCTTTTGCTTCCAAAATAATCATTAGCATAATACATAAACACAGGCCAGGGGAGGAGAAAGTTGAAAAATAACGTTTAAAAATACTTGCCTTTAAAAATTCAGCCCTTCCTATGTTACCAAAATCTGCTTAAAGGGATGGAGCAGTTGCTGGCTCTGAGCAGCCTTTGGTCCCAAAGCATTAGGAGGTGTTAAGTTTTTCAGGTCAAGTTCCCAAGTTCTTCCACTGTCTTTAGTTCTGCTTGTCTCCTTTGTGTTTCCAGGGGTAGATGAGCTCTCCAAGGAAGAGTTTCTTGCAGAGAGATGCCCAGGAGTCCCTGGGATAGCAGCTGTAGGTGGGCAGTCTGTAGGTCTGGACCACACCTCCATAGGAGAGGGGGTTGATCTGTGTGGGGAGAGAGGGAGAGCAGCAAGGGCAGCATCAGTGCTGCTCCTCACACAGCACAGAACCCTCCCTGCCTTGCTGAAGCTGTTTATCCTTCTCCTACATTCCCAACATTAACAAATTCAGCTTGGCAAGGGGTGTTGCTAGAATCATTCCCAAACAGAGGGGCAGACAAGAACCAGCATGAGAGGAATGAGAGGGGAGTGTGTTACACACCAGTGAAGGGGACAGTGCTGGAGAGACAGCAGACAGCAACAGAATCACAGAGTCATGGCATTTTGTAGTTTGGAAAAGACCTTTAAGATCATTGAGTCCAACCCTTAAGCCAGCACTGCAAAGCCACCACTAGCCCATGTCCCCAAATGCCACATCCACACTGCTTGTGAACATCTCAGGGATGGTGATTCCACCACTGCCCTGGGCAGCTGTGCCATTGTCTCACTGCCCTTCCCATGAAGAAATGTTTCCTAATACCTAATTTAAATCTACATCTATACTGCACTGGGGATGCACTGGGACTCCAGGAACTCCTCTGGAATTTGGCTGTACCTGTTATGAGCCCTCAGCCCACAGCTGTGTGTGAAGTCAAACCTGGTATCACTGAAACCACCCAGTGGAACCAAGTGTCAGCACAACAGGATCACACCACACAGTTCCTCATTACCATTTTCAATTAAGTCTCCTTGGCTGAGTTAATCTTTTTTAATTTGACTTCAATCACCACCCCAAGTCTGTGCCCACGGTCCCCAGTTGCTGCACTGACCTTTTGAAGACAGGGATGTGAACAGACACATTTACTGTGCAAGGGGTGACAGAAGCATGTCAGACCTTGGGAATGCTCATCCCAGTGAAGCACTCAGGGTAGGGAGGCAGCTGAAGTCCCCAGAATGGATCCAGTGTGGCAGGAAAAGGATGCACAGCCACCAAAGGACCAAAAGAGATGGGCTTAGAGCATAGACCATGAGAGATGCCCAGAGGTGGGGACTTACAGAGTTTGGTCAGTGGAGAGAAATGGAAGGACATCCCTCTCTAGCAGAAGGGTTCAGCTCTGCTGGAACCAACCAAGCAGCTCTGGGAAAGGAGACTGTAATTCACAGCACAGAATCCAGCCACAAAGAAAAGAGAGACAGCAAACCCATGCACAGAGTCACTACTTGGTCAAAGCTGAGTATTTTTTTTGTCCACTAAAAAGCATCTGGGTTTCTGGGAGTTTGCCTGTGCCACCAGCTTGCTTCAGCTGCTTGGAGCTCACCGAGTGGTGAGGGATGAAGCCCCAGTGCCTACAGAGATGGAGCCCTTGGAAACCAGGGTTGAGCTAAGAGTTCCTTAGAACTAACCCTGGAGATCTTTGTCAAATTAGTTTCAAAGTACAAGATTGCTCAAGCAGAAGGGGAAATGCCTGTACACAGAAGCATCTCTAGGAAGTTTAGACAAAAGGTCAGGGCAGCTGCTTGCAGGGAAAATTATAAAATAGAATAAACAGCAGGGGGAAAAAAGGCCAAAGAAACCTGTCCCCAGCACCAACAGCTGTAAAACCCAAGGAACAATTTCTGCCCAAGTAACAAGTAAAACCCAAGTAACAATTTCTGCCCATTTCCTCAGCTGTAGGCAAAGCAGAGTGTCTGAAGTGCAAACATGCTGGGGGAGGAGGACAGGAACTGCTGCTCCACAAGGGAGAGACACAGAGTGTGCTGCTCTGGCTATGAGCTGTGTGGGCTGGGAGGTCTGACACAACATTTCTTGCTGAGAAGCATCTCTGGGTGCAGAGGTGATACCCAGGGGCAGCACTGGCCACTGTAATAGCCAGGGCTCCTTACACCCACAGCAATTCACACCCCTGTCTCTCCTGGTACCAATGCAAGCAAACAGGCAAAACTCATTATTAGTGAAGAGGCAATATTTGTTCCCCTTATGAATGTTCTGTAGGTCAAAGCTATAATAAACCCTGCTAGGATATCCATCCTAAAGGAGCTGTTCCCTTCTCCCTTCCTCTGCTGTTTAACCCTTTCCAAAGCAATTGCTGGAGAAGATGAGACTTTCAGCACAAGGTACATGAATGGATCAAACTCATTGTGATCTACAATCTCAGAATCTCAGACTGTTTGGGTTGGAGGGAACCTTAAAGCCCATCCAGTGCCACCCCTGCCATGGCAGGGACACCTCCCACTGTCCCAGGGGGCTCCCAGCCCTGCCCAGCCTGGCCTTGGGCACTGCCAGGGATCCAGGGTGGGCACCCTGTGCCAGGGCCTGCCCACCCTCACAGGGAACAATTTTTACCCAATATCTACTCCAGACCTGCCCTCCTTCAGCTTAAAGCCAGTTTTCTCCCTGGGCTATCAGTTCTGTTGAACCCACTGCCAGAAATATTTCTTCCTGTGCACCAAAAGAAATGACTTTAAACACTAATGAAAATACTGACCTATGTAAGAGTTCCTGAAGAATATTAAGTAGCATTTGAAATGGAAATATCATCCCCCATCCTCTGCCCCCCTCCAGGGTCTGGACTTTGCATTCCAGAGGCACTATCTTAAAAATCAAAAATAATCCCTTGGCTGAGCCAGGAGCTGGTTGGGAATGCTCAAAGCCAGCATTATTGATTTCTAATCCATCCCCAGTGCCCCACAGGACAGCTCAGACTATCACCTACAGCTGCAATTATTTTGGGTTAGGTCCATGCATCCAGCCTGACTTTACCAGGCACTGCTCCAAGGGGGCTTCCACACAGAGAGGGGGCAAAGCCACTGCAGATTCTCAAGAAAGGCACTGTGTACAATAAATAAAAATTTCACTTAAAAATAGGTTTTCTAGACTACCCTCTCCAAAGGCCTATCACAAAGTGGGATATTCAGCAGAATTTCTGACACAAGCCCATTTTTTATTTCCACCAGCACAAAGAGAGAAAAAAAATTGCCTTTTCTGACTATCTGCTCATTACTATTGGAACAGAAGGCTGGGACAGACATCTACAGCAGCACTTCCACCTCTTGAGGTGATGACTTGTGCTATATTCCAGATAAAAAATGGATCTTCCTGCAGTGGTCCAAAGAAAATTCATCACAGTCATATGACTCATTGCCTTTGCACTTTAAGTCGTGGTCTTTTCTCTCTGGAGACTCCATCCACCCCATCTCACACACACTGATGCCAAAGCCTCTGCTCAGCACCTCCTATGCCTCATCTCTGGGTCTGGTTTCCTTTCTCTGGAGTCTCCTGGCCATGGAGGATGGCACATTTTGGTTCTTACACCACTGAAAGGCAGGAGCTGGGAAGACAGCTTGCTCAGAGAATGCTGATTTTACCCTAGAAGACATCTGTAGAAGGGATTCCCTCTGGAATTGCTACTAGCTGGTTTGCTGGTTCCCTGCTAGCCTGACCTTTGCTGAAATTGGGTGGGACAGTGATGGAAAAAGCAAAAGGACTGAGAAGCTGCAGTTAAATCCTTCCCACACACTCCCCCAGTGTCCAAGTGCTTTTATAAGTGTTATACACTACTGGCAGCCTCTCCTCCTCAGGATGCAGAGAGCAAGAAAAGCCTCTCTGGGACATGGCTGTGTTCCTGCTGGGTCAGGAGATGGAAATTTCACTCCTGAAAGTGTAAGGAGAACTTCCCTGCTGCCACAATTTCTTTTCAGAAGATAATTTCCTTTAGTATCTTTGATGCCAGAGCATGGAATGGGGGGTTACAAGAGCACAGGTGAGCTGTGCCCATACCCCTCACCAGAACAACCCTGGAGAAAAGCAGGAGGCCCTTTCCTCTCTCATCTTGCCCAGGCTCTCATCCTGCTGCCTCATGGAGCAGCCAAAGCTTTCCAGCACCACTGGAGGGGAAGAGCTGTTCCTGCTGCTTCATTCTGCCTTTTTTTGCTTCTCCCAGTGTTCAGCAATTATGACATGAAGCTGCACAGAGCCACAAGGTGATAATGGCATGAGTCCCAGAAGTAACACAGCTCTGTGCTTCTCCTTCTCCCCTTCTGCATTTCACTTCACACCATCCAGGGCACTGCATTTCCTCCAAACAGGACACAAGCACAGAAAGCAGCCACAGCAACATGAGATTATTCCCCTTGTTTCAGCATTTTAGAGCTGATAATGTTGAAGTGGAGCCTTTCAGTGGCAGCAGCACAGAGGGGCTGGGGTCACCCTGGGGGAAGGCACAGGGCCCTTACCTGCATCAGGAGACGCAGAGGTTTTCCATCCTGCTGCTCAAGGACTCTGAACTTCACTCCAGCTGCAAAGACACAAAACAAGGAAAGCAAACCCATGGGGGGATTGTTGGGGTGTCCTGTGCAGGGCCAGGAGTTGGACTCCATCACCCCTGTGGTCCTTTCCCACTCAGGATATTCCATGGTTCAATGCCTGGAGCACAGAGCATGAATTTGCTGCCCAGTGCTGTTGGCTGACCACTGATTCCCTAGAAACTGTCTTCAACCTTTCTGGATTTGGGAACATTCCCCATTTTCAACAGGAAGCATGGATGTCTCTACAATTCTTTAAGCTTAATGTCACAGCTCCATTAAAAGTAACCCCTCCCACCTCCAGCTTGAAAACTCAGTCCTAGGGCAAGCACAAAGCCTAGAAATGAGCCAGCCAGACCTGAGGATGACAGAGGGACTGGAAAAACCTTCCACTTTCCCCAAACTTCCCTCAGAATGGGAACTCCATGTTAGCAGCAGGCAGAGAGCCTGGCTTTAATTTGTGCTCATGTGGACAGTGCAAATCTGTCCCTGGTTCAGGCTGAGGGAGGGAAGTGGCTGACCTGGAGGCACTGAAACATTTCAAAGCAATCCCTGCCCATTAATCCCAGCATCCACATGTTTTTAAGAGGCTAACCCCATCCAACCTGCCACTTTCCTATTTTCTCTTGGATTTGCCTCATTGCCGATACTGTAAAGATAAATAGGAAAGATTTTGGATTCCAAGGGTGACACAGTGCACACACAGATTTAATACAATGTTTCAAAGGTAACAGCTTGGACCAGAGAGGCATTTTTTTTACAGAGATGTCAAATAACTTCACAGAAATAAAATCACCAATCCATCTCTGCAAACCTGTTCCAGCCAAGCATGCCCTGTTGTTCTTTCCTGCAGGTAAGAAGATGAGCCAAGACTAAGGCACAGATCAAACACTGACAGGAGCACAAACAGAATAACTGCTCACCATTCTAAGTGTAAGTGCCATTGCAGCAGTATCTCTATGACTCTTGAACACTGAAAAACCAAAATGTTTTCTCTTTTTCCTAAAGCTTTGAATTAATTAAAATCATACAGTTCACTCCTGGGATAGAATGCTTTTCTCTAGCACACAGCTCTGGTTTAAACTCTCTCCCCAAATCATAAAACTTTTTCTGTCCAGGACAGGAGGGATTTATCTGCATTTTGCTGGATTATATTGATAGAGGGGCTTCCCCAGTGGCTTGAAATAGATGTTTGAGTACCCTGGGCCTCAACAAGTAAATGTGCTGGATGACCAAAGTGCTCAATGTGATTCACAGAGCTTTGGCTGTGAGGAAGTGTCTAAGCCATTCCAGGAACTACTTTTCTGGCAAAGTTTGTCAGAGAGAGACAGAAACGAGCAGGCACTGAAGGTTCAGATATGTGCTTGGGCACTCTGGAGTCTGACCCCAGAACAGTAATCCATTACCCCAGCAAATGCTGCTTCTCTAGGTCCTGGCCACACATCTCGTTTCTAAAGCTACAAGCCAACACTTTCTTAATTAGATTATTTAATTGCTTAAGAGTCTTAAACTTCTAAGAAAACACGAGCACAAAAAGGCTATAAATTCATTTTGGAACGACCTGCAGGTGACTGCAGAGCTCAGGACTCTGAGCAGTTCCCCCCTCACAGGAAGAGGGGAAGGCTCAGGCTCCTGCAGATCACTCCAGCACAGAAGAACCTGAACTATTCCCTGACTTCCAGCCAGCTCCAGAGCTCAGGGCTCTGCTTTTCCTGTACAAAGGCACCAGCAATGGCACAGGAGAGCTCAGGACATGAATCTATTTGCTTTGTTTCACATGGCACCACACTCAAGTGAGGGTTTGTAATCCAGCAATTGTGGCAGGTCCTACAGGACTGTGACAAAACCTGTCCCAACAATTCCAGTGTGAATGTTGGGAAAGGGAAGTACAGGAAAAACGAGCTGGCCTGTTCACAATCAAACAATGCTGGTAACCTGTGTGTGGGCACTCTGAGAGCCCTGAAACCCCTGCTGTTCCTTTCTTCATGCTGTGAATCCCCATCCCAACCAAGCTGGCACCACTTGAGCTGGCACTGGGTGCACAGAGGACATCAGATGTGATCTAGATAAGAAAAGCTTTTGGAAGTCAAACATATTTCATTTTGGATGCACAGAAAGAAAATAATGCATTTAGTTTCTGTGTGTGGATGGATCATTCACCTACCCCTGGCCTGGCCTTCATCAGTGAAGTATTTTGTCAATTCAGGCACTGAATCAAAGAACTTGGAAGCCACAAGCCACAATGAACTCAACCCCCTTTCCACCAGCAAAAAAACATCTATTCATGTTGGTAGAACCATGTTGATGGTGCCTGTAAAATCAGCTGCCCTAACACCTGCCAGAGGATGTCTTCTCCAGGTTCTGAGTCTGACAAGGGAGGCAGCACCTCAGCAGTGAGCACACCATGTGATGTGTACTCTCTCAAGTCCCTTGAGTTGGATTCAACTGCTCCATCTGTTCCTGTTGCCATGCCACAGTTTTGTGCTGGGGCAGGGACACAGGCTGCAGAACTGCTCAGAGATGCCTCTTCCTCTCACAGGCAGCAGTGCCAGTTAAGGAACACAGCTGAGAAGTCAATCCCTGCTCAGGTGGGGGCTTGTTTCCTGCACCACAGACCTGGCTGGACAGGAATGAGGAGAAGTAACCTGTGGCCTTACATAACCTAAAGGAATTCATGGTGTGAAACCTCTCAGTGGCACCAGGATTTCCTCCTGCCCTACATCCTGCCCATTACTGGGTCAGGTTTCTTCAGCAGCATCTCCTCTTCCCCAAAGACAGCCCTGAAGAGTTTAAGAGGTTTCTGCCAGGAAATTCACAGGAACCTGCTGAAGGCTCCCATGGAAAAGCACCAGAGTTGGTAACAGAGCTCAGCTCTACCTTCCCAAAGCTGAGCCTGGCAGTGCTCCAGCAGACAAAGCTGCTGAGGTTGCCTCGAGCTTCCTCTGCCTTTGATGACTGGCCTTGGTTTACTGATGATCAAGCTCTTTCTTCTATGCTAAATTCCTGCTGCATGCTCTTTAAAAGGATGGGAGATAATAATTTCGATGTGCTTGACTGTAACTAGATCAACCATAGCTGTGGACAGTCAAAGGCATTCCAAAATGAGTCCTTACTCTGGTGCCAGCCCTGGTTTATGGTTATCCAAAGTGAAAAAACAATGACTGGTTTCAAAATGGTGACAGATTAGTCTCAAAAAGGGAATGATTATCTGAACTCTGCCCAGAGCTTTGAAATTCATCCAAACACCAGGGCTTCAGCCAGTCAAAGTCAGCACAGAACTGAAAGAGCTCCATTGATTTGCAACCACTGCAGATCCAACCCTTTGGAACAGCTGATATTCCAAGTATTTTTGTGATCTGGCTTGTTTCAGAGGCCAAACACCCAAAGTTATGAGCTTGTTTTACAGAACTATGGAATATCCTGATTTGGAAAGGACAAGGATCATCCAGCCCAGCCCCCGGCCCTGCACAGACACCCCAACAATCCCACCCTGAGCCTGAGGGCAGTGCCCAAGCTCTCCTGGAGCTCTGGCAGCCTCGGGGCTGTGCCCATTCCCTGGGGAGCCTGGGCAGTGACAGCACCCTCTGGGGGAAGAGCCTTTCCTGAGATCCAACCTAAACCTGCCCTGGCACAGCTCCATGCCATGTTTGACTCACAGAAGTTTTACCTGACCTGGTAGTCTGGAACTGCAATAAAATAAGTCCCTGTTTATACGGTGCTTGTTTGGATGCAATTTTTAGTGGCCAAGGACTTTCTAAAGGTGCTCCTGATTCTGCTTCAGGTTCAGATTCCTTTCCATTGACATCCTCATCCTGCTCCTTGCAGGAACTGGTTCACAGCAGGGACACCTGCACAACTCAAGCCTTGGGTTCTTCCCTACCCCCACTGCATCCTCAATTCAGGAGTGAGCCAGTGCACCAAAATCAAGCACATAATGCAAAATGCTTGAAGTGCTGCAGGGGCAGGGCTGAGGGACTCACCTGCGAGCCTGTAGGATCTGCAGAGGCGAAGGATGAGGGAATAAAGAGGCAGGGAGTCAATCAGGTCCACCAGCAAGTGTATGAGGCCCTGCACAATCACCACCAGCAAGCGGAGCTGCAAAAACCAGTTTGACAGAACATCTCAGGAAACAGGAGATTAAACACTGGTAAATTCCTGAGCTGAGCCTGGATCTAACACTGCTGTGTGCTAAGCTGAGGCCTCCCAAAGTGGGTGTGATGGCTGGAAGTGCTGAGCATCCAGACCCTGTGCGAGGCCCTCACCAGTCTGGGTTTAAGGGGTAACTGGAATGATGCTCCTACAGCTGGAGAAGCTGTGACCAGCAAGGACATGAGAACTATTCCACTTTCAACAGCCACAGTTGGAAAGGAAGCCCAAATTCTCCCACTTTGAGTCAATTCCATCACTGTGTACCAGTGAATGTAAATTTTCCTCTCTCCAACAGTGAGCTGCAACCGCTCATTTCAGCCTGGAGAAACCCCACGTAGAGCTTAAGCAAGGCAGAAATGAACTTCCTGCTCTGTGTTTTCTGTCCCTGCATAAACCACCTCCTTTTGTCACAATGCTTATTTTCTGCTGCCAAGCTCATCTGAAAAGAGAGGGTTCAAAAAAGATGCTGAAAGCATGTGATGGCCACTGTCTGTGGAAAATTTGGCTCTGGGCAGACTGTGGAGAGGACTGGTCATGTTGGGAGAAGGAAAAAAATAAAGAAGTTCAAACCTCTGAGGAAAACTTGGCTGAAAACATTTAATACAGCAAGTTAATTCCCTGGAAAAAAAGTTCTGGATCAGACTAGAGAGGCCATCACCACAGATGTGGACAGAAACATCAACTTCTGAGAGAAAGTAAAGAGAACAGTTTGTCTTGTGGACAGGATTTGCTGGGAATGTCCTTTGGAAAAATAAAAACATGAGCTGATGTGAGAGAATCCTTCCTAAGACATCCACATTTTTATTTTCTTTATGGATGACCATAAATGTCTAGGAAACCATTTTTTACTACCTCAGAAGAGAGTGTTTGACTTGTTTCAAGGGTTAAATCTTACCAGGGTAAACACCAAATAATACAGTGCAGTCGTAGGCAGAAGGAACAGCAGGATTGTGAACAGCAAAGTGCCAATAAATAACTAGGGAAAAAGGAAACACAATCATGAGCAGAAAAATGGTAAAATAAAATACATTACAAATAAAATATAGGAGACTCTGAGGCAATAGAAGTTTGCAGGACTTCTCAATGTGTTTTTATCTTGCCTATGTGAATAATGCTGTTACCTTAGATATTTTCAGTATTTCTCCTCTCACTGGACCTTCTTCAACACTCCTTATTATGGGAGTACATTTGGAAAGATAAAAGCTGGATCCTGACAGCACTTTTCCTTTACAGACAACATTCAAGATTTCCCATTTCAGGCTAGCTTCCTTAGGAAACTAGACTTAAGTGATCTTGCAATTTTTCCACTCTCTGTCCCCAAAAGTTTTAGAGCCACTGACCAGATTTTACCAGAAAATATGGAAAATAACAAAGAAGTGGTAATTTGAATGGGAATTCTGGAAAGAACTGAGAAGTACTTTTGTTCCTCCTTGTTTTAGCAGTGCAGGCACCTGGGGCAAACCTGACAGAATTATTTGTGATAAACATTCCCAGCAGCAACTGGCTGAGCTTCCAGCCACAGGAATTCTGCTTCTTGCTCAGTGGGAAGGTGGGAGAGAAGCTGGAGTCAGGGAGCAATATTTAGAGGATGCAGGAGAAAAATCCCTAAGGAAGGAGGTGTCATTAGCTCCACTGCCCACAGAAAAAGTTATTTTTATTCTGGGCCAGCGTAGGTTGGCGTAGGTCTAAATAATTCCAAGTGGGAGAATTCAGATTTATACCAAACAGGAACCTGACTCTTCTATTTCCAGTCACCACTTCCAGATCAGAGAGGCCACAGGAGCACAGGGCACTGCAACCTCTGCAAAAAGGGACCACGGCTGCAGGATGTCATGAAAGAAAACAACCCAGCAGCCACAGCACAGAGGTGGATCAGCATCACAGCTTTAGGGATGTAACCAGGAATAAATCACAACCCAATCCATTCTCCTCACAGCAGTTGTTTCCCCCTTCTCCTATCACTCCACTGCAGTTGTTTAAACCTCCAAGAGTCTTTTAAGGTCTGCTTTGAATGTCTCTTCCTACCCGGCCAGCGACACAATTCCCTCTGGTCTCCAGAGCAGCAGGATGAAGCCTCAAGTGCCAAACCAATTCTCCTCAAAGTACACAGGGAGGAGATGATGCAAACCTGGCACGGAGGCTTTTAATCACCAAAGAAACAGAAAACCAGCTCTCAGCTGTGGTGCAAGAAGCTCAAGGTTATCTGTTGTAATAGAGAGAGGCGCTGACCCTGCAAGTTTCCAAATATTATTGTATTATTTCAGTGATGTTTGCAGCTGCTGGCCTGCAGCAGTTCAGGCTCTGTTGGACTTTTGCATGGCATTTCAGAAATTAAAAAGAGCTTACAGCACTTCACAAAGAACTGCCTCTGCCTGAGCGAGAGTGTGTGGGCCAGGCTCCAGCACAACGTGAATGAAACGGGGCCTTTTAATAGAAACACTGCCACGGCTGTTACTGTGGCAACACTGCTGGGCACCACATTTCCCACTGCCTCCAGCCCTCCCCCACTGCCACTGCAGGCTCAGAGCTCCGCATCTGCAGCACCCAGCACAGCTCAGCCTGCAGGGTGGGGATGGGATGGGGTGGGATGGGATGGATGGGATGGGATGGGATGGATGGGATGGGATGGGATGGGATGGATGGGAT